AATATACTTTTCATTCATCCACAGCACGAACCTGTATCACATTTTACATGAATATTTCAGGTGTCGAGGCTGGAGACTCTCAGGAATTCAGAGCCGCTTCCCTTCTCTGCTTTCTTAACTGACACATTTGGTCGACAACACACCTACCTCAGGATTTCCCTCACAGAGAAATGCAATCTCCGTTGTAAGTGTACTTGTATGGCTTGCTAAATGAAGATACTTTTGTTTTGTTGCTGTAAATGGCTTCTGAATTAACAGTATTTTGCTTTTTTGGGAATCAGTTTTACCTCTGTTCTTGAACTTTCCTTTTCCTTTTTTCAGGTCAATATTGTATGCCAGAAGAAGGTGTAAGTCTGACCCCGAAAGAGAGGCTTTTATCAGCGGAAGAGATTCTGAGAATTGCGAGATTGTTTGTGTCTGAAGGAGTGGACAAAGTGAGATTAACAGGGGGAGAACCTATGATCAGAAAAGATTTAGAGTATATTGTAGGTGAGTGATTTGAGGGTTGTTCATGATTTAACAAAGAAATAATACTGATGCTATTGATACTAGGAATTTGATATCCTTTACTAATGATGTCTTTAGTATATCTATTTTTGATATATTTTTCGCATATTTTAGAGATGTGTCATTGCATTATTTTTTGTAAAATAATGAACAACTACTTGGTCATTGTTATTGAAATACTAAGCTTATGGGACTTGTAAATGATTCTATCAGAAATTATTACAGTACAGAAGATTTTAGAGATAATGATAATAATAATAAGCAAATAATCTTCACTGTTACTGATAATTCTTGGATAGCATATTCAGTACCAGTACCATATATTATTTTCAAGTATATGTCAATACCAGTACCATGTATCATTTTCAACCTCCAGAGTCATTAGCAGAGCTCGGAGTTAAGCAGATTGGCCTTACAACAAACGGTCTGTTATTGAAAAGAAGATTAGCAGATCTACAGAATGCCGGACTGACACACTTGAATGTCTCGTTGGACACCTTGATTCCACAAAAGTTCGAACTGATCACCCGTCGCCGCGGCTGGGAAAGAGTCATGGACGGCATTGATCTCGCTCTTGATCTTGGGTTTTCTCCTGTTAAGGTGAGAGTAATATATGTTGTTTGTGTATTAACCAAGTTATTTATGTATATATATTTTTTCTTTTTTTTTCAGATATATCCTATGAGATTGACCTTGTGTATTCTTTTTGATCAAGTTTGTCAAGCATATATATATATATGCATATATATTATTTTTATGAGAGATATTTTCACACAAGAATATTTTTGCAGATGGAAAGCCTTAGTAAATTGGAATTTAGCAATAGGCATTTGCAGAATTTACATATGCTAATGTATGTTCTCGCTAGAATAATGGACATTATGTTTTTTGTGGACCACATTTTGCAGTGTGTCCTTTTATAAGGTGCAAACACAAGGAAATAAATCATTATATTTTTAACCTAATTAAATTTGAACAGGTAAACTGTGTGATTATGCGAGGGAAGAATGAGGAGGAGTTGACAAACTTTGTGGAGCTCACAAGACATAAAGATATTGACATCCGGTTCATCGAGTACATGCCATTTGATGGTAACAAGTAGGTGTTATATTACTTGTCAGTTGCTATTGCTAATGCCATTAACTATAATTGTTTAATGGTTGGTTATTCTATTATATTCAGAAAAGGAATTTCATTGATTAGATTATATTTTGAATTATTGTAAAGCCTCTAAATCTTATTCATTAAAAATTGCAACCATTTTTAACTTTATACATTTGTTCTAGAAACTGATTTGAACTTTTATTGTAGTATTGAAGCTTATTTCTAGGACAAATTTATAGATAATGAATTTAGAGGATTGCAATTCATTATGGTTATCTATATGTTCTAACTAATTAGTAGTAAGATATATTTTTTTGAAACAACAGACAGTATTTTAAAATATTTTTTGACATTTCAGGTGGGTTGACAAGAAGATGGTTAGTTACACTGAAATGCTGGAAAATATTGCACAAATACATCCTAATCTTGTCAAGATAAATGATAAAGCTAATGACACATCAAAGGTATTACATTCTCCTTCACATTTTCCATTTCATGTAAATAAAAAAGAATTTTAAAGACTGCACAAGTGACATTTTTTAATTTAATGTCTAGTTATGGTGTATATGCCTAAGAAATGCAGAAGAGTGAGATCCTGATATAAAAAGATGTAATGTTATGATTGTAAAATAAAGTAATTGGAATGTTACAAGTTATATGATAGCTTGAAAATTAGTGCGTGCTGCCAGTTGCATGTTCCTTTATGTTTGTTAAAGCAGGATAGCATTGTAAGAGCATAGAATTTAGAGAGTTGAGGATATGCTTATGTCAATTAATGTTCTGTCTTTCATGAACAACTCAAATAATTATATATTTTTGATAATGGTAAATATTTGCATAGTTTCAGATTTCTAGATTTATGAGTCATGTCTTTCCTCTTCATTTTTCTTCAGGCCTATAAAGTTCCAGGGTTTGTAGGTCAAATTGGTTTCATTACATCCATGTCAGAAAATTTCTGCGGAACGTGTAATAGACTGCGCATCACAGCAGATGGCAACCTAAAAGTGTGCCTGTTTGGTGCTTCAGAAGTATCACTGAGGTATGTTTGATTTTTACAGAATTATTAATATAAATTTGAGTATTCTTTTAAATTCATGTAGTAAGAGAGGGACAGTTTTTATTGTGTGTAAATATATAAATGAAGTATTGAGTATTTTTATTATAGTACTTTTATCCAAGGTAATTTAATTTATTAGGGATTCAATGCGTGGTGGATGCACTGATGAAGAGCTGTTGGAAGTTATTGGGGCAGCTGTTGGCAGGAAGAAGAGGCAACATGCTGGTAGCTATCAGATTTTATTTATTTATTAGTTTTTTCTTATATAATTTGGATGTTTGATATGATACAGAATTACAGTGGTTTTACTGGCCAATGATAATGCATGCAGATAAGCTGGAAAATTGTTCATTGATAAGATACAATGCTTTGTAGTAAACAAATCTAAAGTCACACGGAAAAGATAATTAGTCCTGTAATGTTTAGATGTTAACACCATAGGCCTAACTCTATTTTCTTAATGACTTTCTTTGGACTTATTTACTGCTAATTATTGTATTTTATCAATTAATCATTTTTCAGTTGCTCTGTATGTATTGCATAATTATATCTGTATTTTTTTTTAGATTTTTGCTTCATTTTATTTGTAATCAATTGATAGTTAGTAGCAGATCATCTCAACATTCTCTTTGAAATATTTTTTGGGAAATAATAGTATAATGTCAATGTTTTTATATTACTAATATGTATTATTATTATTACGGTGTGTATTACATAATGATAGAATTATCTAGACTATACCTTTTGATTTACAAGTGTTATTTTTGTTCAGTGTTTTGGGTTATATAACAATTAAACTTTGCTTTTCCTTTGTTCACTTGCAGGCATGCAGAATCTGGCCAAACTCAAGAATCGTCCAATGATTTTAATTGGTGGGTGATGCGTGGGAGCCGCACACAGTATAGTATGTACAAACTCCATATATCTTCCAACTTAAGTTTACCTTTATAATATATTGTAGTATAACATGGAGACATCTAGCCAAATTGAAGGATGATGAAGTGGTACTTCAGTTATTTGAATGAATGTGTGTGTGTGAGTGTGAGTGTGAGTGTGAGTGTGAGTGTGAGTGTGAGTGTGTGAGTGTGTGAGTGTGTGAGTGTGTGAGTGTGTGAGTGTGTGAGTGTGTGTGTGTGTGTGTGTGTGTGTGTGTGTGTGTGTGTGTGTGTGTGTGTGTGTGTGTGTGTGTGTGTGTGTGTGTGTGTGTGTGTGTGTGTGTGTGTATGTATGTAAATATGTGAATATATAGATTTTTGATATATGATATGTGATTATGTTATATATGGTATGTAATATATAATATATAGTTATATATAACATATAGATATATGATGTATGATAGATAATGTATATAATAAATAATATATGATATATATAATATATTTGCTTTCCGAATGTTGCTTCCTTCTTTCCTCTTCAACTCTTTATGTTTTCTTTTCCCTTTCTTCGGATCATGAACCTAAAAGTTCAGTGTATGTGTAGATTTAATGTTTGTGATATTGTATATCTTATGTTTTTTATTTTCCAGGTGAAGGATATTATCCATTAGGTGTTTTACTGCCTATGCATAAAAGTCCTTTGCTATCATCAAGACTGCTACATACCTCCATCATACATACTACTACTTCTAAAGATGAAGAAAATTCAAAACAGCAACACTCTCTTTCCTATCCACTAGATGACTTTTCTCACATGAAATACTGGGAACACAGTTCTATAAATGATCTGAGGGAAAATAACCTACAGCCTGTCCAAGAGAATATATCAGAGGTAAAAGCACCGGAAGTTTTTGTTGATCAGAGTGGAAAATTCTGGAATGAGTTCACAAAAATTGATGTAAATGTAGATAGGAAGAAAGGCAAAGAAAATGGAGAAGAATCTGATTATTGTCAGCCGGAAATAGCAGAAGGAGGAAAGGAACAGGAGGAAAAATTAAGTCATGTTGATAAAAAAGGAGAAGCACAGATGGTAGATGTAAGTTCCAAAAATATAAGCGTACGTCAGGCCACAGCAAGAGCAGAAGTTTATCTTGGACCAATAGCATTCAGTTTAGTGAAGGAGAATAAGATGAAGAAAGGGGATGTGCTTGGGGTAGCTCGCATAGCTGGCATTATGGCTGCTAAGAAAACATCAGATTTGATTCCCTTGTGTCATCCATTACCTCTGGATCATATTGAGATTTTATTTGATATGCAGGAGAAATTTGAGGAAGAAATGTGTTATAGAATTGTAATAGATGCCAAAGCTACTACTTCTGGTCGCACTGGAGTAGAAATGGAAGCTCTTACCGCAGCTACGGTTACAGCTCTCACTATATACGATATGTGCAAAGCAGTATCTCATGACATCACTATTTCAAATGTCCAGTTAATGTTTAAGACAGGTGGTAAGAGGGAGTTTGCAAGGAAATCATAATATGTTGTTATTAAGTTTTAAAACCTTTTTTAGATTTTATGACAGCTGTGATTTGTTACATCAATTTATATATAAAGTATAACAAGTATTTTAGTATTATATCAGTAGAAGATTAATAATTGCTCACAGTGTAGAGTAGATATAAATTATTTTTGTTGATATGCAAAACAAATGTGATATTCCCTAGATTTTGGAAAAGTATAGAGATAGAGAAATTACTTTTGCCTTAAACTCTATAATTTCTGTAAATTTCACGTTTTTGTATATCTATGACACAGTACTTATACTGTTTTGATAATTGTAACTCAAAAACTACCTAATGAAATGTATGTACAATCATTATATTTTCATATTCATATTCCTGTTTAATTTAGCATTAAGATCTTACAGCTTCTGTCTCGTGAAAGAAGTGAAACTGAAATATAGTCTTTCATATCTCCAATTTTTATACAGTTTTTTTTTGTATACATAATGCTGTGAGACTTGCTTCAGTCCAGAACATTGAGAACTATTCATATATATATATATATTGTCGTTTTCATTGTACATGAAATTATGATTATTGCTGTTTATTTTAAGGGCATTTAGAAAATTATAATTATAGCTTTTCAGGTTTTTTTTACCAGATTAGAGAGTGAAAAGGTCACAAAACACTTATTTGTTTACTAAGAAATGCTAATTAAATATTACTTGTTAATCTGAGTTTCCTTCTCAGTAGAGATTTGTCCTGTAGTTGTGAAAAGGTAGAACAGTTCTATTAAAGGGCATTATATGTATTAAAAGGGATCTACTACTGATATGAAATTGTGTTTAGAATGGTTTTGGAGTGCAACTTAGCACCATTTTTCTGTTTTATAAAAGATTGTGTTGGTAACAGCATATAAGATTCACAAGTCACCCAACATTATATCTTTCTGTGTAATGGTACTGCACTGAGAATCGTGTTGCTTTTTAACCCAATGCTGATGGACATGACATGTACGTGTATGCCATGCCCACTTGTTTGATTGGTTTTACACATAGATGGCTACACTTGTACTAAGTCACCAATGAGCCAGTTACGAGTACTGCCTGTCTTGCCTATTTACCCTGTTCTTTGATTTACAAAAATATTTTGTTATCTTATTTTGTTGTTAATGATATTTATAACATTATAGTAATTATAGTGTCTATTATAAAAATAACACCATTGATATTCATAGCACTAGTAAAAAACACATTTTTCCTACCAATTCAAATCAGGTAAGGTCACAAGGTCTACTAATTGACTCCTTTGTGGCTAAGCACTAGCAGAGCCATCTGTTTTACAAAAAATATAAAAAATGAACACAGCATTTTCCCTATTTTTTATTCTATTTCTCCGGTGGCATTGGGTTAATGAAAGAAAGCATGTTGTGGCACTGAATCGCCCAGGAGAGCAGGAAGTGTCATGCCTCTCACTAGAAGTTCTTGAATAGGTAAGTTTAGATAAAATTCAACTAAAATATTCAAAGACAATATCAAGATGATGGATCACTGACTTCCAACTGATTATAAATTAAATGATGCAAAGATCAAACAAAAAATGCAGACATAAATGTGTAATGGTCAGAGATAAGCTGTAAAATTACTTTTCAATAAGTTAAGTTCTTGAACAGCTCATGTAGGACTGAAATACAACATGAATCCTTGTTTGCAGATTGAAGTGCAAGTAAATTTCTATGATTTTGGTATAAATACAGTGGCGTAGCCAGAGCGGGAAGATTGGGGGGGCAAACAGGTAAGAAAAATAGCAGGGGGTCCGGAAATCTTCCCCCGGGAAAATTTAAGACCACGCCCCTTAGAATGCTGGAAAACGGCTCTTTTTAGATGGCTTATAATGAGCTATGCCATTTGTGCAATAAAATTTGTAGGGGGGGCCCCCTACAAATTTTATTGCAGATTTGCACTTTTCTCAGAGACCAACTTTCTGAGCATTGGGGGGGCGGCTGCCCCCCCTTGCCACCCCCTCGCTAAGCTACTGTATAAATAGTGGTTGAAACTTTATATTGTATAGTATTAGACATATATAAACTGATTATCAGGTAGACATTGTCACCAATACTACTACTACTACTATTATTATCATTATTGTTGTTATTAAAATTATTATCATTAATATTATTATTATCATTATTATTGTTATTGTTATTATTATTATTATTAATTACTGTTATTATTATTAATGATTATTGTTAGTACTAGTAGTAGTAGTAGTATATCAAATATTATATTATTAATATGTTTACTTCTTTTGGTTGTTTCACTCTTTTCAATATGATCTTCATTACTGTAACAATACTGATAAATACAATAATAGTAATAATTGTGAGAATAATTAATAATAACAAATAGTAATGTTGATGAGTTGACTGTGAGACAAATAAAGGTTTATTTTA